ATTATTTGTTTCAGAGGTGCAGGTCTGTGATTCAATAGTCTATTCTATAAGTAGACTTATAAAATAGACTTATAAGAGACTGCCCATCTCTCATTTATAAGTAGACTTTATAAGTAGACTTCAACTATTGAACCTTATTTCTTGCCATTCCTTTCAAATAAAAGAAAGTGGTTTGTTGAAGCTAGATAATCCTCACCTCTCCTCTTTGTACCAGTAGGATTCTGGATGTATCCCTATTAGACTTATTACTACATCAATATGGTTATTGATTTGCTTGTTTGTATTTTTTACTAAAGTATAACTGTATTATTTGGCTAGGGTTGCCTTAATAAAGTACCACAAGTTGGGTGACTTAAACAATAGGAATTTATTTTTTCATAATTTAGAAGGTTAGAAATCACATGGATAATAAATGGTAGAATCTAAATTGGAGCCCAGATCTGTTCACCTAGTGTTAGACAGACAATCAAGGTGTTGGCAGGGTTCCTCTTTTCTAAGGTTTTTTCCCTTGGCTTATAGATGGCCATATTCTCCATGTATCTTCACATGGTCTTCCCCCATATATCTCTGTGTCCAAATCTTTTCTTATAAGAATACCACCTGAGATGACTTCGATATCCGAATTTGGTGGGGACACAATCTGGTCTGTAACAGTAACTTCCTGAAGGGAAGGGAATATGTCTTTGATTTCTGTCTCACTGGTGCTTAAAGTGGGTGGTACAAAAACTACTTAATGAGTATTTACTTACAGAATGACTACATTTCTATATTAGATGAGAAACTGGAAAAATGAACCCTGGGTTATCTTTGAGTCTAAGAATGCATATATGTGGCACAAAGTCATTTTGGTGGGGAGGTGAGAATTTTTAATTATTCAATCTATTATTTACTCTCTTCTCCCTCTTATATACTCAAACATTATGATGAAAAGTACATCGCTGCACTCAAGTTATGGCAGGTCTGCTTAAGCTGTTTTTCTCCTTATTTAATACAGTAACATACATGACTGTATATGTATTCAAAGTTATGTATTCATATTTATTAATATATCTTGATATACATTTTCTTTACACAAAATTAGAATCATACTTAAAATAAAAAATATATTTCTTTTTTCATCTTAACATAATACTATAAATATTTTCCTAAGTAGTAGTTAAAACATGAATAAATTTAAAGTTAGATCTGGGCTCAAATTCAGGTTCTACCACTTATCAACTATGTGACTTTGGGCAAATACGTAACTTCTCTGTGCCTCATTTTTCTCATCTACAAAACTGAGGCAATTTCAGTAATTGTCTCACAAGCTTATAAAGAATTAAATGGGAATTCAGGTAAAACTCTTAGTACAACATTTGACATATGCTAAGAACACATTAAACAATTACTATTATTATCCAAAACCAGGATCTTAATGGCACCATGATATTAGCTGAACATCTGTGTTCTTCCCAATTTTTCACTATAGTAAATCTGAAATATTGGTCTATATGTCTTGCTCATAAAACTTGTTCTGTGTCTTTGGTTGTTTCCTTAAATTCAGGGGCTAAAGCATTACAAGAAACTTTATTTTCAAGTGAAATTTTAACCAAAAGGGAGAATAAATAAAACCTATTAGTAAAGGAATGCTGAGAGACTGAAATGCACAGTGAAACAAGCAAAAACCTCTGCTGGCCTCTCCTTGGGGTAACTGAGGAGGCCTGGTATGAGGAGAGTTTGAGAATCACTGGCAAGAAACAGACCAGTAATGTTAAAAATCTCTCTCTCACTGGAATAAACCACGGGTTGCCTCAACGTGATTGTTCTGGTGCTATCCTGCAGGCAGATACAGAACAACAGCACTGAGGCTATTTCTTTTAAGCATACCATAGCTAAGAAGAAATTCAAGCACTATAAATCCTGTACTTCTTTCACAAAGATGTTAAACTAAAAGTGAATAGTTTAGTCAACTCCAGGTAATACAAGTGTTGAATCGATTTTAATGCCACTAGATATAACAGTCAAGAAATAAACTAGAGTTTTCATAAACCCATTCTATCAGGGAGACTAAAATGTGGTTTTGGCTACATTAACCTGATTTTCTGTTTCCCTTTTATACCGGCACCCAGCTGTCAATCAATTCACGAGTGTAAGAGTCAAAGAAATGGTACTTCTATCATAAATGGATTGGAAATGTTCCAGAGCAAGCTTAATCAAAGCCTCAGTAGAATTTATCTATCTATAAAAGGCCACTAACTAATCAAAGATGTCTATTTAGGCACAACATTCATAACCCTTTTCAAGGTTCAAATAAACCAAAAAATGTTAAGCATTACATCCAAATAAAATGTTCCTTAAGCTAGTTATAAGAGATAACTAGTTCAGTACTAACATTCAGTGATTAAGTTTTCTGAGGTTTTCCAAAAACAATGAATATTGCTAAAAAAAAAAATTAAAATAAACTTTGCCTTAGTTTGCTTTCACTTAAAAATTTTTGAAAATTTGAGATGCTTAGAATATATATATAATAAAACAATACAAATTATAAACAAATAATATAAATTATACTGTAGAAAATAAGAAATATAAATTATAAAATGATCCTAAACTTCCCAAAGTTCGCCAGGTTACAATATTCTGTATTCAAAGTATCAAGTCTGCAACTGCAGCTATTTTTGAAACAGGTGTCCAAGCGAATGTCACTTGATCTAACGTGTCCTTGCTTTGGTAAGCAATACTGACACTAAGGCCAAGAACAAGAATTATGCTTTGATGAGGTCTCTAAACTGACTACAGTCTATTCAAGCTACTTTAGCATTTGAGCACCAAGCAAATGTGCTATGTTAATTACTGTTATATGATCTTGACATGAACTAATCCCTGTTCCTATTAACTTCCCTAAGTAAATGAAGTTTTAATGCTTAACTGAAAACAGTGATGGGATAATCCAGAGCAATAAAAATTTTAACAGATGAAGAACAGTAAGTGATGGCCATTCATCTTATTAACATAATAAATATTTATTTCACATGGAATAGAGACTGTGCATTAAAATTACATCCTGGCCTAGCATTATAACTGAAGCCAAGGTAGGTAGGGAGGGGTAGGAATGTAATTCCTATTTAGATCCTTGTCTTTTCTCCATACTAAGTTTTTCACATGCGTTGGTACTGATGATTATAGGATGTCACAGAATTTGATAATCATGAATCAACAAGTGATAGGATTTGACAGTTTGTTAGCCTATCCAGTAATTGCTTACAACAGCACAGTGACTCCTGTCTCCATTAAGCGTGATTTTATCCAGAATATAGCATCCCTAACTACCAGTCTAGGTGACCAAAGTAGCATAACTTATAGAAATAATAAGTTAGAACTTATTTTTATTTTATTAATATTAATCCTAAAAATATAACTAAATACAGTTAGTAATTAAAAACATACTTTTATTTATTGGAACAAAGCAGTACCATTCTAGAGTCTATTAGTTTACATATTTCTGTAAGGTAGTAACCCTACAGTCCCACTGTTAGGAAAGTGACTCTAACCAAATTGATATTATGGCTTAAACAAGTGGGTCTGGAGTCATGCATGACCTACCTGTTCAGGTAAAATATTCACAAATGCCATCTGTGTACTGGTTACTGTCTAGACTTGGGAAACCTCCACTGATTTTCTCCTTTTCCCCATAATCATTATTACTACTACCACTGCTACTGGCTAATTCTTATTAAGCAGGTACTTAATACGGAAAACACACTTAAGTGAAAAATAACAGCTTACAAAATATTGTCATTATAATTCCATTTCTGTAAAATAACACCTGTCCTTATATGTGTTGTGTTTTAAAAGTGTGAACTCAAATATTCTTAGTGGTTATCTTGTAAGGTAGAATTATGTATGAATTTTTATTTTTGCTTTCTGTTTCACTATATTTTTGGAATGTTACAAATGAACGTTTAAAATAAAAAGGCTGTTTTATTTTTAATCATGTACTGTGTGCTGTGTCCTTGACACATTTATTATTTAATAGTGGTCAAGGAAAAGAGTATTTATATTTGGTTTTTAAATAAAGTATTGAGGCTTCTTGGGCTCTGTTTTAAGTATTAACTAGAAACACTATCCTAAGCAATAACTATGTAATAGAGTAGAGGAAATGCAGGTAAGTCCTAACCTTATTCAACTTTAGAGAAGCCACCGTTTCAACTATTTTAAAACAGGATAAATTAAAGACAAGGAGAGAGCCTGAGCAGTCATTTCAACCTACCATTTGTTACTGCCAACAAGGCAACTCACAGAGGCAACAAGGTCCTGCTGGTGGAATCCCTGCAGTCAACATTCTTATCTATACCTCCTAACATTTTAAAAACCACTTATTAAGAAATAGTCAGAGGTTTATTAAGTGCCAATATAGAGCACTCACTTAAGATCTCTGGGCCTTTTATCCCTCTTGGAACGTAAGAGACAATAAAACAGATTTGGATAAAAAATATTTTAAAAAAGCAGGTTACAACCTAATCTAAAATTGAAAGCATTTATGAATAGACCTGAAGGTAATTATATCTTCCAGTGCTTAGGTATTCGAAAATCCAATCTTCTTTTCTCTAGGGCTCAAAGTTCTTTATTTTATGTCACCAGTTATTTTTCATCTAAATGAAAAGTCCTCACTTTTACAATTTGTAAAAGAATGAAGTTCAGATAAATGATCTTCAGGGTCCCTTTGAGTCTTAAAATTTTATTAATCTCTGAAAGGCCACACTAATCGTTATTTTCTCTTAGTTCTGATAGAGAGAAAATTGGTATTTTTAGTTTTATTTCCACAGAGTCCAGAATTACTTTTCATTATAATAGATTCTAACAAGTATATATATTCAAATTTATCTACTTCAATAACTATTACATAGAAGTATAGCAAGAATATTTTCACTAATAAAATTTCAAATCTTTCAGAATATATGTAAAAAAAAAAATCAACACTGGTACTAAGTATTTCAAGAAAATTTCAAAAACGAATAACCAACCTGATGACCTGGTTACAGTGGGCACACATTGGAGTTCTTTTCCCTGCTGGAATGTGCTCAGCTCTTTGCACTAAAGTGTCCTGGTCACCTGGCTGGGGCTGTCCCCTGGCTGAGCTGGCTGGTGCTGCTGCTCCTGACAAAGTTCCACTGTTTGAGATTCTTCCAGTGGAAAGCGCTAGGAGTTAAGACAGAAGAATTAGCTTGAGAATAAGCCAAATATAAACTTTTTCTAATAATCAAATCATAATATTACTTTTTAAAATAATCTATTGATTCATTTATTCACTCACATTTACGGAGAGGTTATATATCAAACAGTGGACTGTGACTACAGAAATAAACAGAAAAGAAAATCAAGGATTACAGCACAGTGAAAGAGTTATGACAGATGAATGCATTCAAAGAGTTATGAATGCATAGAGTGTTGTAGGAAAAGAAGAGTCACCTCTGCTTCCAAGAGGAGATACAGTTAAGGTGAATAATGACAGCAAGGTAGTTCTCATCATCTAGACATCTCTGCTAACCATCAATAGATTTAACTCCAAATACATCAGAGGTGTATTAAATATCTCAATGTGTTGAAGATAATAAAAATAAAAATGAACTCACTGTATTATCTCTCTTCCTCTATTCTCTAAGTAGACTGTGAAATCAGTTACCCAATCATATAAGGTAGCTACATAAGAACCATCCTAGGACCTTCCCTCCCTCATCTGTGGTTATAATGGGTCCTGCTGATTTTATATCACAAATACTTCTTGATTTTGCCCACTCATCTCCATTCTTACAATACTGTCCTGGTTTAGGTCCTAAGTGTCTCCCACCTTGCTAGTCGCCAAAATGTCTTATCCTTCTTAAATGCATCCTCCCAACTGCCACCTAGGACTGAAATCTTACCAGATCACAACTCTGCAGAAGCCACTTCAAGGATCTCCCTCTTCTCTGACCACGGAAAGTATTCCATGTTTTTCTAAGCACTGCATCCAGGTCCCTCCAGGGCTCTCTGTCAGGCCCACAGCAGCTCTCATCACTCTCTGCCTCTGTTTTCATGCTGCAGCAATATCAAATGCCTCACATTTTCTTGTGACTCTCTCTAGGCACTGGTTGTCTTTACTGTCATTTTCTCCCCCTCTTTCTATGTACTTAGTAACCACCATGTATCATTTAAGATTCAGCCCAGAAGTCAACTGCTCCAAAAATTTTCCCTGAAGTACCTCTCCCCACTGCCCATGCTCCATAATCCAGAGGGAGTGTTTCTCTCCCACGTTCCCATAATTTTCTGTGAATGACTTTATTACTGTTTCTACTTCACATATCTGTGTCTTTTCTCCCCCAACCAAACAGTTAAGCTCCTTGAGGGCAGGAACTATGTCTTATTCTTCACCCTAGCAACTAATACAGTGTCTGGAATGAACAAATTAATGAACTGGAATTAATACATAAATGAGTGAATGCAAAGTCTGTGAGGGACTGAAACCAACAGGAGGCCTGCTCCTTAGCAACAGGCAACTACAATGTAGTAGAAAAGAAAAAGCATATGTTAAAAAGAGGTTTAAAAGGAACAACTTTTTTTATAATAATAATAACATAAATTAACTACATGTGTGTGTATTGACAGGCTTCATATTATAGGTGTGGTTAGAATTGGAGATTAATTAGGATAACTGAAAGGATAACTCTCCCTTACCAGAATAAAGCCTGTTTGCAATGATGTGCAATTACAGATCCAGGAACCCAGCATTTATTAACACTTAGCACATCTACAGTGCTCGGTCTGGCACTTGAGCTGTGAAATGGCGCTTTACAGACCAGCGAGCTTTACTATTGCCCTTGTTTCAAGTGACTCAGTGGGCTAGGAACATGTTTTCGTTCCCTTATATTCGTCCCTTATATTCACACTTTATCTTACAGAAATGAGAGAGAAAATCACTCTATACCCTCGCTTCCTTGTCACCTCATTTACTTGCATAGCACAAGTTGCTCCTCTGTGGGTCTTCCCTTTGTATATCCAAACCCGATTTCCCTAAGAGCAACAGATAGGCATTTTCAATGCCAAATTCTGTTCTTGTCTTTAAATTCAAGACATGCAAAATGGATTTCATCTTTTTGTACACATTCCCAGCTCTTCCTAAGAAGTCCTTCCCGTATGTTTGAATTCTCCCACTTAACTCAGGCACAACCCTCTGTCTCCTATGTGCCTGACAAACCCCGGACCCTAACAATGTTCCACTGTAAATGTTCCCAAGGTCTGTCCCTCTTTTTAATCCAAACCCATGCGCTATCATGTGAGTCCCAGTCTTAAACCCCTCAAGTCTAGACAATCACAAGTCTCCTAACCAGTCTCTCTGCTACCGATCTCTTTTCAACCTATTCTGCTAGACTATTTTTTTTTCAAATATACTACTTTCATCATGGTTTCTTGTTTATTCAGTCTTGAGAGTCCAGTCCCTCAAGGAGCTCACTCCAATCTTCTTTACGGCCTTGTCTTTTATGCTCGTTCACATCCCAGTCATCATCATATTCTATTATACTTATTTAATATTTAACTTGAGCCATCACTATTTGAAGGCACACTTGTCAAATCCTTATAACAGCTCTATGATTCAGGCAAGATTAGCATCATTTTTTTTTTTTTTTAATTCTATCTGAGGCAAAGAATGGTCAAGAAACTGGCCCAAGGCCATGAGACAAATAAAGGGCAATCCAGAATCCAGGCAGTCCGGCTCCAGAGTCCATGCTCTTAGGCACTATGCTATAGTTTACTCATTGTCCCTTGAACATGCCAGGCCAGATCTGCTTCTATGACCATCAGACAGTGAAATGTCTCCTTCTCCAGTGCTACTCACAGTTTTCTCATTCTACAAGGCTCGTGCACATTCCATTTCCTGAGCTCCCCCCGACCCTGCTGCCCCATATTCCCTGACGATCCAAGCTAGAAGTGTTTTCTTCTTCCTCTTAACATGTGCAACACCCCTGCCTGTATAATTTATTTATCAGTATCTTATAACATCTTTTCCTTCCTAAGTCAATGATAAACTCTTAAACAAAGAGGAGAAACTATATAATTCTTTCTACCCACTATCAGAAAACTGCCTCACAAATAGAAGGCAAAAAATTAATATTTAATCAAGCAACAAAAACGGGAAGGTTCCAAATCACTTTCATTTTGCCTTTTTAGAGAACAATATTGAGATAGATATTTTTAAAATGTGGATTAGGATCAGGATTTCAAACAGTGGGAAAGTTACCAATTGAAAAATCTGAAGGTCAGACCTCAAAGAGAGTGAAACCCTTTCATCTACCATATGCCTTTATTTTATCACATTATCTATGCATAAGCCCTAAAGTACTGAGTCACTGAGATATTTTTAGCAATAAAAGAGTGTAGTAATTCTCCATCAGTCATTGTAAAATGGGACATAATCCATCTGGTCCATGCCTCGAGGAGAAGGTACATGGGGAACTAACTTATTTAACATGAGAAGCCATTCTTAAACATGAAACATGTGACTGTGTCTTAAACACATATACTAAAGCTCTAAGCTCACTGCTGTTCCTTGCTTGGAAAGAGAAGCCCTGCTTTCTGTTACTGCCCCATTTTAACTGCTCTGGATAAGACAGAAATTCCCAAACCTCTGTTTTGTTGCTGTGTTGCTAGTACATTGGCTTGCACACAAAGCTACACAAGCCCTATTAATTACCAAGCCCTGAACATTTCCAAGGCATAGTTATTTCCCATATGAATAAAGTGATGTTTCATTTCTTCAGATTGAATTTGTCACCACTTTAGCCTACGAATGGGCAACTTTTGCACCATCAAGTGCCAAGCCCCTGGCCTCTGCTCACTTGGCTTAATGGGGAGAGGGAGATGTAAGAAGGTGAGGTCTTGCTACAGGGAAAGCACCACAAAATGAGCCCCGTTTCCTTAATAATTCTGTAGAGAATTGCACTACCATGCAGAGAAAAACAATCTTCAATGGGTGGTACAGAGACCGAAGTACTTCACATTTATTGAAACTGTAATAAACACCACTTTTATGTAGAAAAAATATACATCTCTTTAGAGATAGTAGTTTAAAGATGACAATCTACTTATTTGTAATAAAAACAATTATTTCTTTTAAGTTCTAATAGAGCTATTAAATAGGACCATTAAATTAGCCCCATTTCATAATCTATGAATCTAAGTCACAAAAAATGTAAGTGACTTACACAAAATGAATAATGAATGAGTCAGTAGTGTCACAATGAGAACATTAGGAAGAAGTTAGTTCTTGACTCAAGTTTTCCTTTTTAACTTAATCTTGAGCAGCTTCCATTAAATCTGGCGTCTTTTGTGGCTAATCTCTACCCCACAGGGACCATGTTGGAAAATTAATTTTTATTCTTTTGTACAAAATACAGCACCACAAAACGCATATAGAAACTCCCTAAACCAATAGTGTTGGTGAGAATATCTTATTAACTTTGGAATGGTTATTTGTGAGTCATCTAAAGGTTTGGAATGACATATATTCATATCCATTTCATATTTTTGTTTTTCAGCATTATGACAGTCAAACTGAATATTACAAAGACTATTATTAAATAAACATAAATTAGTATAAAAACCTAGCAGCATATTAGAATGCTTTTTCAGTATATAATATGGAAAGTTATCAAATTAATCAAGCCACAATATGTTGAGTTGCTAGTTTTTCAAATAATTGTCATAGTGATATATTGGAGAATCCTAAGAAACAATACAATTTTAAAAAGCAAATAGATCCCTGACTTACTAAACATGAAATTTAACTTGAAAGTCATCCCTTTTGGACTACAAACTATAAATTGGAAAAAGAATTTTAAAAAGTTGAACCATACGCATTAATTTAGGTAGGACACCTACCTCCTGTTGTTAGGAAAATCTTTGTGAAATATCATTTGGAAAGATAAAGTGAAAATTCTTCATGCTAGGAAGATCTTAACTGCATTATTTCCCAAGCAGGTAATTCAGGTTTGCACTATTCAGCAAATTAGTTAACACAAGTTTTAGGCAATTTTATATATATAAATTATAATAATATATGTAATAAATGTAATAGTATATATTACTATATAGTATATACAGTAATTATGTACTATATAATATTATAAAGTAGTATAAGGAATTCAAAATTATCTAATTATTTACTG